AGCGGCCTTTAGTGTTAAAATTGGAGACTGAGAATGCTCCTTTTGGTTTTCTCACTAGAATCCATGTTCCAGCAACCTTTGTGCCCACGGTGCAACATGTCTCAATGGATTCACAGACAAGAAATACATTTGCCTGTGTCCACCTAAAGCCATAGGTGAAAACTGTGAGAATTGTAAGCAACATTGTAACAATTATCGGTAGTTACGGTTTGGAAGCGTAATCACTTTAACATGAAATCCTTCAAGCTAGTGATTGTGTCATCTAGTTGTCTAAGTGACAGATGAATGACATGTCGACAACCTTAACGGAGCATCGAATGTTTTCTTAACGGACTACGAATTAACAAGCACATCAAGTACGGCATCAATGATGTAATGGTTTTTACTATTATTTTCATTATTATCATTATTACAATTATTATTATTATTATGATTTAATTTTCAGCATTCTCTGCGATCTTCTCAAATCTCGGTGCCACCGGAAGATATGGCCCAACAACGCTGGGCAGTCACTACACAGGTCAGGATCATGACAGACAAGTTACATTGTCCAGCGGTATTCAACAGTGGACTGTGCCTCACACTGGTGACTACAGAATAGAAGCAATAGGAGCAGCAGGAGGGTACGATTCACACCCTAATAGCGCTCAGTATCGAGGAAGAGGAGCGAGAATGATCGGAACGTTCAGTCTGATTAAAGATGAGATCATTCGTATCCTTGTGGGACAGGAAGGGGGCTCTAAAGATAATGACTGGAGTTCTGGCGGTGGTGGAGGTACATTCGTTGTCAGACAAAACAACACGCCTTTGATAATAGCTGGAGGTGGAGGAGGTCTGCATTACTTGACAAAACGGCATGCAGGGTGTGACGCAAGTACAAACACAACTGGGAATCCTGGGTACAGATCAGCAGGGTCAGGCGGAATCGGTGGCCTTGGCGGGCAGAGTGGCAATGCCAGCTACGCAGGTGAGGGAATTTCCGGGGGCCTCGCGAGCTGGAGAGCGAAACAGGCGAGAAAGAGGTCCGCTAGAGAAAACCTGCAGACTTCTCGACACCTCGCCCCACCCACACCTCGACTTTCGGAAAACTTTCTGGAAAGTCAGAGGTGTGCTTGTCTCAGCAGCAGCATTTATGAAAGCTTGCTCGTAGGCTATGGGAACACCACATCCAGAATGAATAAAAAAATTCGATTCTTGCTTATGGAAATTGACATCCGTATTGTAAAATTCAGGGAGGAATTTTCTTCCACTAAACGATTCGTTTAAATAAGGAAATATCAGTTATTATTGTTAAAAAGAACCTTTTTGGTATAAATGGTTTCATTTCATTTATTTAGCGATTTGTTAATATCTTTTTTTCTATCATTTTTTCTTTTTGTCTGTTTAAGTTGAGTCCCCTTTTTATTCTTTTAGGCGGCAGCGGTGGAGGCTTTTTTTCCAACGGAACGGATGAGAACGCAGATGGTGGCAGAGGATTTCTTCAGGGAGGAGTGGGGGGCAAAGGCAATGCGTTAAAAGCCGACGGTGGATTTGGGGGAGGAGGAGGAGCTTACGGAGGAGGGGGTGGTGGTGGGTATTCTGGCGGAGGTGGCGGAGAGATCAACAAAGATTCATGTGGAGGAGGGGGTGGCTCTTTCAACTCAGGAAAGGATCAGAAAAATGAGTGTTGTTACCAATCTGATGGACCTGGTCAGGTTACGATAACATTACTGTGAAATCACTGTATAGAATCATTAATGAAAATTATTTTATCAACCATTAAAATTCCTTCAAATGTGATTGGTGCGCAAACTGCTTTAATTTTCACTAATTTTTTTGGAGAGATGTAATCGGACAGTATGAAGTAGTCAATCATACCAAATCTACTCAGCTAAATCCATCAATCACAGAATTGATCACAATAACCAAATATCACTCATTTGAAGGAAAACTGGGAGTTTCCAGGATGGACGGGTTGTTTTTTCGGAAACTGTAAAGGCTACGATTAATTGATAACAGGACTTCGTGTCGTCCATGTCTATCTGTTATCATACTTGTGATTAACAAATCGCAGCTCTGAATTTCCAGTCATTTAAGGTAGTTGAAGCGAGAACAAAAAGAGGTTTTAGATCCCTTTTAGAGGTTTTGCTTGTGATGTTTGATGGAGAATGAAGCATGGCAGCTGCATTATAGAGAGGTATCCTAAGTTTTCTTGAAAATGTAATGATGAAATTGCTAACAATATGTAATGTGTAACTTTATTTACAATGTACGGAGGTATACTTTAATGAGCCCGTACGGAGTAATTCAGATTACGCATTAAAAATTAATATCGCTTATAAGACCCGAGAAGTGCATCCTCACTGTTAACTATCTAACATCGTTTGGAACGAGTTCCCCAAGATTCACCGAAGTTAGAAGGTAAGCCAATGGCTAACTGTGAATTTCACCTTTTCATTTTTTGGGGGGGATTTATGTAACTATCAAAATAGAAATACAAAAACAAATGAAGTATTAAGAAATGAATCAATACGAGCAAGACCAAAATACAAAAATTGTCTTGAAAAGTTTTAAATCCTTGTAACCTGTCTTTCTATAAAACTTTGCAAAATTAACTTTTAAATAATGTAAGAATAGAAATAAAGAGAGCCTTGTAGTAGACGCAAAAAAATCATTAGAATTACGCAGAAAACCTTTCCAAATTGTCAGCGCTTCGCCCGGTAAAACCCCAAAGTTTCTGATAATACCAATCAAATATATAAGAAATCTTTAATTTTAGCAACATCGCCGCTTGAAAGGCTTTCCTGAACGTTAAGTAGTCGCTGTTTATTCCCTTTTCGTCTGATTAATTTTTCATAACTCATAAATTGAGCAGAGGAAGGAAAGAATAGGTCATATTTAAAATGAAAGCAGACCTAGTTTGATCTATTTTGATTTGATTTTTATAAGTATCCTGTATTCATACGGAACGTGATCCACCGGAGTCGCTGATACGAAACCCATCAAAAATAAACGCGCAGACTCTCCTGGTGACAATTTCCGTTCAAGGACGTTGCTTCATTCATCGATAGACTAATAAGCAACAATAAATTCTTACGGTGTACGTACTTTTAATCATGAGTAACCAAAACCAGGCTGCTTAAGTGTCTCAACATGGCACCCAACCAATTTACACTGGCAATCGGAATATACATTTTTTTACTCATTTCTCAGCGAGATACCTCAGAAATTAGGTTTTACCCTAATTTTCGTCACCAAATATAACGCAAACGCTATATTTTGTGGTGGCTGACGGTAGATTTTGATTGATGCACATTCCAACGGAATCAGATTTTGCTATATCGAAATTAGGAATATGAGATATTTCTTCATGCATGGTTTATTTGCTGTGGACATGGACCAGTTTGGCTAATTTTTATTAAGCAGTGTCTCTTGCTTTCATTGAAAGAAATTCATGTCCAGTGACGTTTGATTTCGAACGTCACGAGGCAGTAAATATTTCTGGTCCAATTCTCAGGCGGTGCGCACTGTGCACCAGACCGCCTGCTTACCAAAACAACCACCTCTTTCTATCATTTCCAGGCTGAGCTCCACATCAGCTGAGTTTTTTTGTTGGAAAAATGTACTTTGTGCGACGGGATTGTATGATTGCTTTCTTCTTTATATACCAGCTGCCCTTATGAATTCTTCTGTGTCTTGTCGATCCGAACGTTCCATTTATGGGATGATGCTCCACGGACACGCATTCAAGAAAACCAGGGCAGAAAGCTTGACAGAGTGTGTGATGGCGTGCAATAATGGTGCCATGTGCCAAAGTGTAAATTACATCATTAATGAAGACGTTTGTGAATTGAATAATCGCACGAAGGAGGCCAGACCAGATGACCTCGTTCCCCACGAAAATAGCATATATGTGACACGATTTAGTGAAAGAGGTATTGGTCGAGGCTCGAGGGTAGTCATGTAAAGGACACATGTAGTTGAGGCTGACAGTTGCTCGCGTTTGGATGATCTGAGTAGAAGTCATCGTTATTGAATCTGATAATGACTCTCTTTTTGGCTGTCAAAACGTCTTTCGCTGTTATCGGGGTCGGTCCTCTATACATTTCTCACTTAGCCGGTTAGACTACATGACACGAAAACATTTTACTCCTGGGTTCAAAATATTTACTGCAACAGTGATGTTATTAACAGAATAGAAATATATATATAGCCAAGGCTATATCGTCATATCCCCTGCATTTCTAAAGACTTCAATTAGACTGCGGGACGAGCGTTTCTTCGCCTGCAGGAGAGTTTTCGAAGGCGCAACGATGGCTATCAAAAAGGCATCATTGCTTTGTACTTACCTTAATCATGGCTATAACAGTTTCCTCAAATCTGATCGGTGCCTTAGCTGTAATCGGCTGTGTTTGGACAGTTGGCTGTGATCGGACAGTTGAAGCAGCCAATCATACTTAGTCCACTCAGCCAAATCAACCAATCACAGAATAAATCGCAATAACAATAGAAACAATCACTTATCCTAAAAGAACTGAGGAATTTCCAAAATTAAGAATTTTTTCTTAGTTTAGGCATTGTCTCCACCGGAGATCTGTGACCCAAATGTATGTGTTGTTTTCGGAAATTGTAACGGTAATGATTAATTGGTATCAGAACTTCTTGTCGCATCACAAGCCCGATTTGAGCACTAATAGGAAAGTGTACGCTTGTAACTGGACAGTGTAATAGGACAGTTAAAGGGACAGTTAACTCGTCATCCCTGAGTAAGTGGACAGAACGCGTCATGTGCGCGCGCTGTTGTCTCGCATTTCGTAGAGTTAATTGTTATTTTTTATGAAAACATATGACCGATGTGCAGTTTCTTTCTCAAAAAAAAAACAAAGGAAAATAATATTGTTTGAAATTTCGTTGGACTCCTGTGTAGGAACCTTTTTTTTCAAAAACATTATGAGATTTGGTGAGTTTAAAGCGCTCTCCATTAGTTTGTCATGACATCAATGTGAAATTAACCATAGCGCCTCAGAAACACAGATGTGGAGCTCACGCCAGTGGGTGGTTAAATGGTACTCACCCCACGAAGGCCGATGGCATAGTCACCCGACAGGTTTGCTTCACCTTCGCAGATTCCTGTTGTAGACGGGAAATCAATGTGAAGGTCAGGAACTGCGGTAAATACTTTGTTTATTTCATTAAAGGAACACCGCCACAACAACGATGCCATCTGCACTACTGCATCACTGATTTTGTAACATTCCGAATGTTATCTGTGAAAGCCGTTTTCCTTCCTCGAGTCACTTTGTACTAACAGCACGATATTGCTGAATTATGGAACAGTAATACAGGAGAATGTTATTTAACCCTTTCACTCCCAAGCTCTCAACAGTAATTCTCCTCACTGCCTGCCTTACATTGCTCACGAAGTTGCTTCTTTGAATTTGGTGGTAATTCAAACGATAATCCCCTCGTTGGTACTTTTCTTTATTCAATCACCAACCTGCTTGATATTGCATCATCCAGGATCGCGAAAAGATAAAAGCCAAGAGCTCAGAGGAATCTAGCAGTTCGAAAAGTGAAATCTACGTAGTTTTCTTCAAATACAAGTGCACATCACAACTTTGACAGCTTAGATGCATGCTCTTCATATATGTGTAGCTCCTGAAAATGAAGCAAATCGCATAGCTGAAAAAAAATTCCTTACAGGGATAGAGAAGGGCGAAATCTCATCGGTTTTTCTGCTCCCTTCCCTTATCGCATGCGATGGTCCCTAACCAAGAGACAATTAACTGATATTCTCTTGTATCTATCGATATCAAACTGACTGATTCCCCTTTGCAGGACTAGTTATTTCTGTTATTTCTTTAAGAGACTGATTACAGAAATATCATAAAATTATCTTACGGGTCTTAAGCTTTTAAAAGTGAGTAGTTTTATTACTTCTTTGTAGCAGGTAAGCAAAGAAATCACCCTCGCAAGTGGACTGCAATTTAAGGAATTGCAGAAAAAGAGCCCGAAAAGAATTCAGCTCCCCACGGGATTCGAACTTATGCCTCCCATTGAGAGCTCACGTTGGGAGCGAGGCTTGGTAGCTCAGTTGGTAGTACAGTCCAGTGAGTATTGGGGAGGCATGGGTTCGAAACTGCTGAGGCCCGGATTTTTTCAAGCTTCTTTTGTGTACTTCCTTCAAATGCAGTCAACTTGGGTAAATTATTTATTTGCTTGATTTTCATCCGCAGTTAAAATGAACTTTATTTCGTCAAAAAATTGTGTAAGAGGCGTGATACATGTAGTAAAAGCTGATATTTTACAGTTCCATTTCTAAGTAAGTAGCTTTTTCAAAAGGAGAAGGATGATCAAGACGCCGGAAGTTAACAATTACTAATCTAGTAAAGTAATGGGATTCTGAGGGCAAAGTTAATATTGTAAGAAAAAACGAGAAGAATTCCAATTGTGAATTCTTCATTATTTTTTCATGTATTGTGCAAAAAAAAAATAAATAAAAAAATCATCCTAGACAAAAACAAAACGTTTGCAATAAAAAAGCTGCAGTTAGACGAAGCAAGCTATACTCAAAATCGTCAGATTGTGACGGAATAATACAATAAGCATGGGCATTAGCTTTTCCTGCAGCTTCATGAATCTATTTACTTTTATACACAGGCAGCGATCGAGTTGTGAAATAATTATGGAATTCTGTGGTGTTTGAGAAAGGTTACGGCTGACACAAAAAGACCAAAGAGGGTAAACAAACAAAGTCCTTCCAGATATCGATCAAACCTACCAAACGCAGCTTATATTGCCGTGTCTCTCCCTTTGTCTTTTAGACATTAGTAGGGATCCCCTTCAGCCGCACATGTCTCAAAAGGCTGTCAACCGCTGGTTCCTAGCTGTGACTCTCCCACGCAACCCATCTCTTGTCAAGTACCGCCGCCAAGGCCGCCATTACACGGCGTCTGTTGTGATTCTTGGAAGCGTCAACTTTGACGTTCCAGTGTAAAACTTTGAAACTTGCCTAGAAGGAAGAAGACTGTTCGCTCTTTACGGATATCTTCTACAGTTCGGGGTAAAGTTAAAAAAATTGTAGGGGTCTCCCTCGTTTATTACCACAGAATGATATAGTCTGTATCTGGGTGTCGTTGTTCTTTTTGTTGGTTTTTTTAATTTTTGTTGAGTCATGATATTACTCCTCTTATGGAAACCGCCCTAAATTCTGTGCTAAGCTTTATTAAACACGTAGACTGTGATAGAGTGTTAAGCGAAGAAGCACACAAAGTATTTATAACAAAACAAAAAAAGTTGTAGATTTTCATGCGGGCTTCTGAAATGGGAATTATGTTATCTGGCTAACATAGAGAGGCAAATGGTAGCAGTGATTTTTTTTGTAAATAGATTTCTCTGAAAACGATGATGGATTTTATATATTATTTTATTTTCTTTGGTACATTTGTATTTCATATTTCTTTTTTTTTTAAGATAATATATTAAGTACTGGAAAGTTATACGTACAAAAAAGAGCAAGCAGTTTAAGTCAGGTATATAGGAAAAAAACAAGAGAAATATAATAAATAAATATTACGGTTTGTCAAGATGTTTTAAGCAGGGGTTTATTATTATCATTAGCATTATTATTATTATTATTATTATCATTCTCTGTTACTACAGAGCATCTTTACAAAAGTATTCAATAAGAAAAGTAAAACGTTGTTACACGAGTCAAAGAAATGTTGTGAATTAATGAGCTCCGTGATAAGGGGAAAGATTTGGGAAGGGAGGTGTGAGTTTAGAACTGAGGAGCAAAGAACCAGCGGCAAGAAAGAATACGTAGTTAACAGTCAGTTGCGAGCATTTAGTACACAATTGTTTGGCGAAGGCAAATATCGGAACAATTTCTTTCACACGTGCGAATTATTCATATTTCGATACAAGTCTTGATTCAGACATGGACTAAAAAAAATTCCAGGAACAAAAAAAGAAAATGGATTCTTGTCTCGCAAGCTACAACTTAGAGAGACTTTGCGCGAAGGGTTGACAAACCGCAATTAACCAGATGAGAAGAGCTCAGAGAGGGCTTGCACGCGGCTCTGAAGCGCTTTCATTAAAATATCGACAGCATTGTAATTACTCCTGCAAAGTGTTGTTCGCTGAACTATCTGCCATTTTCGAATCAATCAAAGAAAACTGAGTGTGATTCAATTCTAGTCTCCCTTGTCTGACAGCTTGGTACAGTTAGCGAGCTCCAACATCGTGAAGACCTCTGATCTTTCTCGGAAAAAAATTAGCGGAAGTGGAAAGTGAGGTGGAAGTGGAATATTGGATTGGTGGGACTACCGGCGAAACCGGATTTCATACAATTTTGGGTGCTCGTTGTTATCCGCGCGGGGATCCCGGAAAGAAATTCGGGAATTTGACAACCGACCACCAAACACAGGTTCGACTATTTATTCCGAATTAGCCAATCAGCCCACGCGAAAAGTTCTATTCACCTGTGTGGTATATAGTAAAAACTGCCATAAGGTGGGTAGATGGAGTAGAATTATGAAGCACGAAGAGAAAATCTAAGCAGACGAAAGAAGCCTAAGTCCAGCAATTTCTCAAGGAAATTCTTATCATAACCTTCTGAAACCGTATCTCTGAGATTCTTGAGAATCCGTCTTGTGGTGCTACCCTTGAAACCACGTACCCATTTACACTCCCAACCCAAAGGGGATAAACGGAACCTCCCCCATGGCTCTTTTCTGAAAATGATTATAATATATGCTATCGTCAGTAGACATGTTCTGCTGAAACATTTACGTCGACGCAGTTTCTTAAATCTGGGGTGAAGTCAAAATATCAGGGCTTACAGACTGAACATAACAGGAATGCCCAGTGATCTGCGACAACGCTCATCAATATTTCCTACACTCGAGAAACCACACCGACCTAAGGTACCTCCCATGATGAGGACGCTTTCTATAAACAGAATAAAGCACCATCTTCCAAAGCCAAAGGTAATTTCTTTTTTCTTGCCTCTTCAACGATATATGACAAAATATCATGTCGCTTTACATGCTAAAGAAGCGCGTCGCGTGACAACCTAAGGAACGGCTACCAATGAAGCTAACAGTTATAAAATCTGAAAATATCGAAGTTTATATCTCATTTGATAACTTTATCCAAGAAAATGGGAAGAGGTTGAGCGAATGAGACATAGGTGCGCTCACTGCTTCTAACGACAAGATGTGACAAAACATCCTGTCACATAACGTGCTTAAGATGTGCGTCGCGTGACATCCTAAGCAATGGCTGCCAATGATCAATATTAGCAGTTATAGAGTAAAAAAATATCGAAGTTTATCTCTCATTCAATAAACCTATTGAAAGAAATGGGCAAATGTTATCAAGCGAACAAGACATAGCCGCACTCACTACTTCAAACGACAAGAAATGGCTTACGCAGGTTGATGCAGAAATTTTCTTCCCTTTTTTATTGATTTCCTCTTCCATTCGAACAAAATACCAAGCGACTTGTTTCATTGTTTGACATTCAAATGTGAGTTTATTGTACTTAGATAATAGGTAAACAGTCTAATCGAAGAAACTAAATAAAATCATTTGGCTCCAATTTTCTAGCTCGTTCTGAGTTTCTCTCAATGCTTTGTAGGCCAGTAACTAAAATTAGAATAAAACTTCTCGTTTTGCCTTCGGACGACTAATTCAAACAATATACTTGAAATGCATCATTCTTCTTGTAAAAAAGTAACACAATTCATCGCATTCAAAATTAAAGGAGAAATCTCAGAATATTAACAAATACCAAGACTAAATCCTAGCCATTACGGCCAAAATCTGTAATTTTAAGTCCAGATAAACCAAATTCTGATCGGCAGAAACTAACTTTAAGTACCAATGACTGGGTAAAAATTGTCGAAAATTTAATCACAATTTCCATCTTACATAAACTAAGATAATCGAGCAATCGGACAACTGATTATTTTTCAATTTCCATGGAAATTCTCCACACAAAAAAAAAACTCTGGGAAACATTTTCAAGACGTTTCAACTTCGACGTCAATGCAACGCCCAAATTCGCTTAGTAGATAATACTTAGATTAAAAAATTATTTTTTACATAGCTAGTCATGATAATCTCAAGACATATGAGAAAAACAACAGTTTCAGCAGGATATCAAAGATGAAGGTCGTAAAAGCAGTTCAGAAAAGCAAAAAGTCAACTTTTGAATCAAAGGAAATCCGTTCTCTTGTTAAACTTGACTTCAGCCGTCTTTTGATTCATCCTGCTTTAAAAAGAAGACTCTTGAAAAAGATTTAATTGGCAGCATACTGGTTTCTGCGTATCAGCGTTTTTATGTATCCGAAAACTCCCTGGGAATCCAATGCTCACTGCGTTAACTGAAAAATAAAAGAATCTAAGTTTAGGGAGGATAGTTGAGTTGCCATGAAATATTTCCTAGCACATGAAACGATACATTGCACAACAGGATTGTTTTAAAAGAAATTTGCTATTCTACTCCTATCATGTTTCCTAACGAGAATGTTATCATCGTAAACGTGTTCACTTGATTGTACTGCATCATCCAATTCGTGACCCAAATGAAAGGAAAATAACACGCAAGTATCAGTGCTCATACAAAAGCTATAATTATGATTTAAGGTAACTTTGTATTGAATAGAAGGTATAAACAGAATATTTACTTGCTTCAGCCTCTTAATATCCTTGAAATCCAGGTTGACGTCGTCACCAATGAGTACATTTAAGGATACGTCCGATCATCTCCACTTCTTTCCTTGCTCCTGGAAGTTTCACCAAACGTCTTCCCTGATAGATGATACCTTTGAAGCATGGGTCGCCGACAAGCAATGCACCAGTCTTCATGTGAAAGTCAGCTGGACAATCATGAATTAGTTGAAACGTAGTCAGAGAGGGAAGCACACGAATTCTGAAAGAATCACTTAGATACGATGAGTCCGAGTCCTGCAACGCTGCAAAAGATACAAGGCAAAGTGGCCTCTCAGGAAGGAATGTTAGCTCCTTGCCTTCGGTCAGATCAGCAATAGGAGAAACGATGACGTCATGCAGCTTCTTTAGAGCGCTTGATTGGGAGTGCCTCACATCGACTCGGATCACATCATTGGCCATTTCCTCTTCTGTCGGCGAATCAAGCGGAGGATTTTCGATTGTAACAGTATCTCTTGCACCGATCTCCTGAAGAGCAGTTTTGTTCAGTAGCTGGATGAAAAATTCCGATTCATCCTCATACTTGTAATTGTTGACGTGTACCTCTCTCATCTAGATATTATCTTCACTGAAGCAAACCCAGAAGTAAACGCATGCTTCATTAATAACTATGAAAGCTGTGCTCAATGGAACACAATTCAGAGAAACGCACGCTGTGCGATGAAGAATCTCCAGGCTGATATTTTGTGGCCATGAGATCTCTCAGAGCTTGAGCACGTCCTTCCTCTCCTTTCTCTTTGTTCGACTGAATAACGTGGAATTCTCGAAAATTGGGAAATTTCAGTCTGTTGGAATACAAATAGTAGTGAATTTTTTGGTTTGCCCAATCGAAAAAATATCCAAAACAAATATTCTCACAACTTGTCTGATTGATATTGTATTGATATTGTAAGGAGAAATCCTGTCTTGGTCACTCATGTGAGATAAAGGGTTAGAGGTAAAGTCAGCACAAGAGGCACAGGTCTAACCTTGCCGATGCTTATGTTAATTTCAGTAGCATCAGGTGACTGGCAGAATTGCTTACTCCCCTCTACACAAGGTTTCCCTCTCCCTTATCCGATTACAACCCTAATCTAAACTATAACAAAATTCTTGAACGTGATTGGTTATCACCAGCCCGATTTGAGCACTAATAGGACAGTGTACGCGACATGTTTGTAATTGGACAGTGTAATAGGACAGTTAAAGGGACAGTTAACACGTCATGCTTTTGTTAGTGGACAGAATGCGTCATGTGCGCGCGCTGTTGTCTCTCGTTTAATTGTTGTTTTTACAATTGGTAATAGGACTTCGTGTCGTCCAATTCTGTCTGATTAATAATGGTAATAGGACCGAGTGGAGTTCAATTCGGTCTGTAATCATACGAGTGACTAACAAAATCGGACGAGCGCGAAGCGGGAGTCCGATTTGTTAATTCCCAGTATGATTACAAACAGAATTTGACGACACGAAGTCCTGTTACCAATTAATCAAAACTATGACAAAATTTGCGAAAGAAATTAGACATCGCTTGTACGTTTTCATAAAATATCCCCAGTTAACTCGGCGAAATGCGATACAACAGCGCGCTCATGACGCGTTCTGTCCAGTTACATAGGCATGACGTGTTAACTGTCCCTTTAACTGTCCTATGACACTGTCCAATTACAAGCATGACGCGTACACTGTCCCATTAGTGCTCAAATCGGGCTGATGATAACCAATCACGTTCGAGAATTTTGTTATAGTTTTGATTAAGAGTAGATTAACCCGTGATTAACAAATCGGACTCCCGCTTCGCGGTCGTCCGTTTTTTTTAATCACTCGTGAGGGAAAAGCATCTTGACAATCAAATACACTTGCACTCACATTTAGAGGCTGAGTTCTTTCAATTTTTTCCCCAGTCTCTCAGCCAGTTTATCCGCTTTCTCATGTTGCTCTTATCACCCTGCTGACCAATAATCTGCTTCACTGCACGAGGCCAATATTTGTCTACCCATAACACACTTGGTTCTCCTGCACAAAAACAAAATGACCTTTACTGTCAAAATCTTATGTAGATGAACCCTTTAATCCCTGAGACTGACTAACATCTAATTTCTCCTTTCAATATCAGCCCTGAATCAAACATTAAGGTCATGAGAATACAGCAAATGATCATCAACTGAAGAACCTCTTGATTGTTCAACAAATTCTCCTTGCCAGCACATTAGGAAATGTATAGAGAACAGTATGGAGAATATGCATACTGATGTTAGGGTGTAAAGGATTAAACAAAAACTATACTGTCTTGTAACTCAGTTTAAGTGACACAAACAAGTCTACAGGTGGAAGAACAGATACATGAACCAACAGATGAACTCAAAGGTGGAATTTAGGGTAAAACTGAGGTGTGGGTGAATGGACAGAGGGAAAGAGCAGAGTGAGTGACAGATAGAAAGACAGTAATTGGATGCATGTACACACACAAAAGAGCAGACAGACAGACAAACTGAGTGATACTGTAAATTTTCCACCAAAAAGAGTTTCTAATACTGATGTTTCAAGCTTAAGCCCTTCCTCAGAGCGGATGGCTAATACTTGAAACATAAGCTTTAGAAAGTATTTTAGGAAGGCCATCCTAAATTATCAACTCAGTTGATAAAACCACATTATCTTGTTAATCTCCCCACTGATGCAGCAGCACAGTTTATTAAAAAACTTACCCCCTTTAGACAGACAGACAGATGGACTGCTAGACAGACAGACAGACAGACAGACTGCTAGAAAGATGACAGCAAGGAACAATGGACAAACCCATAGAAAGATAAAAGTAGATGGAAGAAGGGAAATGAGGATGAACAAATTATGTTATCAGTTGCACACTAGTCTGTGGCTCCTATGAAATTTCATTGTTGACTTCAATGAATCGTGTTAATTTATACAAATTTGTGGCAAGTTTTCCTAGTGACTTCAGAGTAAGCCGTACCCCTGATTTGTTATGACAATTTAGGGAAAAAGGTGCAGCTTATATGTTGGTGTTCATGGTGCTTTTTTTTTTTTTTCCTGTTTTGAGCTGTGCATTACAATGTACAAGGCTGTGCTCTAACGGCGCCCGGTCGCCTGAGGCGACTAACATTTGGCCTCGGGCGACTGAAATTTTCCTTAGAGCACAGCCTTGAATGTACCTTAGAAAGTTTGCTCTCTCCAGGATCCTGTCCCACCATGACATAACTTGTTTTCTTGCTTGCTGATTGGGTAACTTTTTCACCACATCTTTGAATCAAATCAGCAGCCTCCTGACTCTCTCAATACTTTCCAAGATTCCCTTAATAACAACTGTCAGTTCATCCGAACAGTTTTCCGCTCTCTAAAAATTAAATTATCAAGTGCAAGCATGATTAGAGAGGTGCAGACAAATAATTAATTCTTCCCTTGAAGACCTGTTAATACTGTCCAAACTGAAAAGTTATAAATGGTGAAAAAGTGAAAAACCTTTGAGGATACACAGGAATTAGGAAGGTTTAACAGGCAAATGAGCCTATGGCCCCTATCATTGGAAAGTTAGGGGCCATTTATAAAACGTTTGGGCCATTAGGGTAAATAAATGGGCCAGTAAAAATTTTAACAAAGGTTTATTGCTTGTGTATTACAGTCTATACCTATACAGAGACATGGTTTTAGGCATGAAAAACCGTTGCCATGAATAACCATCCCCTATATTAACTTCAAGTGATCTTCAAGGTTTTTGAAATGTCGTGTGACCACCAGAACAAAATGGTGATGATAAATTGCTATCAACCATTCGGCAGTTCAGTAATTGACAGTGGTCTTCTATAAAAGCTGCACTAACCTGACACTAACCAAATGAAACATAATTGTTTCTGACATCAGTTATGTTTTTTAATTACTTTGTTTTTGATTGTTGCCCCTCCACACAGCTGATTGTGAGAGAACTTTTTCTGCCCAGAATCTTATCTTGACCAAACTGAGGAATAGGCTCGCCCCTGAAATCAGAGGCATGAGGCTAATCGATGCAAATACATTCAAAGCGACGAAAACACTCGAACTCTGCTTGAAAACGAAAGCACATGGAACTCCGAGCAATAGCCTCGTTTGCATGCAAAGTCCGAGTTCAGGATCTGGGAACAAGAATGAAGCGAGCGTGATCAAACGAGCGAAGGCACCGTAGTTTTTCGCTTGTTTATGTCTCACCAAAGTGAAACTTTTACAAATTAAAATCCTTTTCACAAAATAGTTTATATTTCACTAGCTTTGTGCGGTCAGGGCGCATCACAGGCCCGGTAAGTATTTTTATAATGGGCCATTTCGTAGCTTTATGCGCCATACGCGCATGGCGCACGGCCTTCCTAATCCCTGGATACACCATAAACATTTGGCATCAATGTCAGTATCTAAACATCTGTTCACCTACCCCTCCCCTAACCTAACATCAGTCAACTGATAACAGTTAATGTTGGATTAAGGGAGGGGTAGGTGTGCAGTTTCCTAGATACTGATATTGATCCAACATTTGTAAAACAACTGAGAGTAAAAGGATAAAATATAACTTTTTTAAACTCCCATGGGTGACTGAGACAGAATTTCTCCTTACAATGTAGATACAATATCATGCAGACAAGTCATGAGAATAAATACAAATATCAATCTTGGGATTATTAGTTGATCTATGACCAAATTCTCTCAACCAATGTCACAAGAATTGTATGGCAGACAGTAAGGAGAATTACTATAGAGATCTTGGGAGTAAAAGGCTCAATCAAAGCATACATTTTACATGTGAGGGAATAGGTAGAAAGGAAGCCTGAAAATAAACCTTTTAATAATGATGTAATAAGAAATTCTCATTATCAATCTACAGGAAAACATCTCGCAGCAAGAGGGGAGAATTAACAATCAGATCTTGGACTTTGAAACCTACCTGAAGGATTTCCTTTGAACCAAGTGCCCTAGGACCATCTCTTGCCATAAAACTATGGTAGCCTGATTTTTTCTTTTCCAATGAGGGTGAAACTTCAACCACTTCCTCTAATTTTGACACCTTCGGTGTTCCTTTGATTGGAGTTTCCTCACAGACATCTTTTTCCATCCTTTTTTGGAGTAACAGTTTTCTTTGGACTTGGTTTTGAGTCTCTTACTAGAGTTTTTGGAACTGTGGCAACTTCCTGAAAAGTCCATGGATAAAATTTGAAGTGAACAAAAGTTGCATGTATATCAAACATTCTAACAACTGAGAGTTGTCCAGTTTAGGCAAGAGTTGTCCCAAATAGGAATGTTGATGGTAAAAGACACTGCTGCTTTAAATAGTGGAGACAAAGAGGCAACATCTTCCCGGAATGTCAAAGTTAAAGTCACCAAGAATGTAACTGAAAGTTCTGTCACTATTGTTACTGTTTTTAGCATAAATTCTAGGTACAGTAATGGTAGTATTTTGAGTAGTGTTAGTATTGTAAGTAATGTTTTGTTGCAAGTATTGTTAGTAATGTGCATCTGAGTAAAAACCATCTACTGTCATAGTAGGACAGGTTAATGTATATGCAACATGCACATGTACCACCAGTTCACAAGTTTGAGTAAGCTTTTGGATCCTATACAGAGCCAAATTTAGTCATAAAATGTTACTGTTTCATCTACAAGTACCTTATTCAAGTGCTTGATAACACTTACCATACACATGCAATCATATCAGGTCCAATCCATTCTAGTATCAGGGTAGCAGGTTTATGCATTAGATGAGTAGCACAAAAAAATTGAAAATTGCTAGTTTGGGACAAAATCACTTCTTTAGGTCTGTTTTAAATTCACATTTACTATTACAACTGATTTATTTCAAACTATTTTATTTTTGTCACATTTAATTCAAATTTGTATTTACCCATAATTTCTTGTGGGTGTGGTCTTTTTCACAAATAATCAATTTCGAGTTCACTGACATAGTAAAAAGTAGAAATCATAAAATTTTGTATTACATGGAGGCTAGTATCTCCCTAGTAAGATCAACTGGTACTCTAAAAACTGACTTTCTGCCTCTTTTTACAACTTGAAGATCACATCACCATTTTTCTCTTGGAAATTCAGCTCTCTTTTTGCGATTCTTTTCATTATATTTAAGATTCCTTAGCCTATTCTTTTCCTGCTTTTTCCTCCTCCACTCTTTGATCCTCTCAAGCTTTTCTTCCTTTTCGTTAACCATACCTCTTGTCAAGCGCACTTGAAGCGATATTTACAGATGGCTAAATTTCAGAAAAATTATTGAGCTTGAGATTATTGCGTAATCAGGTTTTACAAAACCGTAGCGACTGTTTTACACTGATATTTCTCCGTTTATAGTCAATCCTTTAGACTGATTTTTTGCTATTTTAGAACACCAAGTATGAGCATTTGGTTAATGTGTTTTTGTTCCCACAGGATTCCAGTTCAGTCATTCTGCGTACAACAACTTGGTGTACTTCCAAATTCTGAAACCCAGCGTTACACAAAGGATGCTTAAGAATGATGAATCTTTTCTATGCGTTTTAATAAACTTGAAATGTCAAAGTTTTGCTTAAATGTAGTGTTTATTGTGTGTTATCATTAGGTGTAATTTGTTTGCTCAAACGAGCTTCCTTTTCAGTGAAAAATGTATTTAAAAAATTTTACCACTGAGATTGTGTTACAGGTTACAACCAAAATTGGCTCGATTTTTCATCTTTCACTGGTATTTTCTCAAAGATAGTAATGTGGTTTTCTGATTTTTTGCTTTTACTATAATCAATAAGAACAACTTTACCTGTAAGCAAAGATTTGGCCTCAATGAAAATGTAAAACAGAAGAAATCATTGAAAGTTTGCAGTCAACCCCCTATGGGCATGGTGATTGTGCTACTCATCATTAATAGTAATGATTAATTTTGCAACAATAAAGGATGGTAATCAAAAGGCTTACAAACCTTTTTCTTCTCAGGGGAAGGCTTTTTAACCTCATACTTTGATTCTGAGAAGTCTTCCTTTCTTTTCTTTGATGGTTGCTCTGTTGTTTGATGGTTGACATTCCCATTTTCTCTTCCTTCTTTTTCTCTCCCATTTTTATACTCTTCTTTTCTATTCACTCTGGAATCTTCATTTTCTTCAGACTTGTCAGATCTTTGTGGGAAATGAAAAAGGATAAAAAATTATTGACTTGCTCTACAAGGAATTAAGGGATGATCATTAAGTGGGTTGAGCTCTGGATCAAGCTTAAAATTTGCACTCTCAAAAGTGATCAATTTTCTAATTTCTCATAACAATACCAATTCACAGTCAGGCAGCAATGTAATATCAGAGGAAAGAAAATCCTCAGTCAAGAGGATATTTATTGATTGAACAACATATTCTCAAAGATATTTTCATAACACTTGTGTGACAGACAGTGAAGAGAGTTGATTTAGATATCTTAAGAGCAAAAGAACTTATCCCTTTCAGGGACCCCATGGTGTTGTTTTTGCCAAAACTATTCTCCAACATCTCCTCTCCCCATCCACAAAGTATCTTGAATATGATTAAATAATGCATGACTCAAACATTGGTCATTATACCCATTAATTTTGTGGCATGGTATGTGTGAACCATAGTCCATTCTGATATAACTACTGTATAACAGATTGGCAGAGGGTTTACAAGGAATGCATGATGAAGCCCAAAATTAACATGTGATGCATGAATTTTATAGAAAGGCAAGGTATGGTGAGGTTTAAAGTTTTCCTTGTTAAATGCATGATGCATGAAGTACTGTTTAAAATATGCAGGATGCCTGAATTTTTCTTTACAAAAAAAACAGTGGGTGAAAAAAGTGTAGTTAGTTATTCACCTGTTTTCTTTCATTAGCAAATGTTTTCCTGGATTCCCTTTCAACTGGAGTAGGACCAAAGAAATCAGGTGCAGAAGTTTTTTTTTTTCCCTTTAGGTTTGACTGATATACATGTACATTTCCTAAGGTACTGACAGGGAGAAGTTATTTAACAAACAAGAGCTTAGTTGGTGATCATTTCCTTTATTCTTGTGCCCTTAACCTTGACACCTGTGTGTAACATGTGCCTATCCAAAAGTTAAAATTTTGGAGAAACTGGAAAAGCAAACACAATGTGCAGTAAATTTTTATGAATCATCTTTCACCAAAAAGAAGCTCCAGTGAAAGAAGACCATTTAAATAACTTACTTTCAACAAAAAAGAAATGCATATTAATGTTTGATTCAGGGGGAATATTGTAAAGAGAAATTGGATGCTGGTCACTCTTCACAGTCAAAAGGTTAAATGTATTAGCATAAGAGCAGTGTCCTATGACAGATCTAACATTCTCAATGCCTGATGGAAGAAAGGAAAAAACAAACAAACAGACAAAAAATAAAATTTAGCTGCATAATTTTAGAAGAAGCCAGATGCTTCTCCAGACCAATATCTTATGTTCTAAATGAACACCATGGTTTGGTGCTGAAATGTCAAATATAATGAAAGAGAATGATGAAAGATACCTCTCTTTAACATGCTGGACCTCTTTAGAAGCTACATTGTCTGTCTGTTAGGCAAACTTTTTTAATTTCCTGGGCACAACTTCTTCCTCATCTGTAGGAACAACATCAAAGTATAACTTAAGTGCTGTAATATTCAGATCCTATTTAGGGCAGACTGGTCTAATGGTAAGTGTGCTCAAGCCTGGATAAAGAGAATGGCTTTGTTTTCTTTGGCAAGCTAATACATGTACATAAGCAAGGTTAAAGGTCACCTGATGTAAAAAAAAAAAAAATACTAAAAGTAAAAAATACCCTCATCTTACCCCAAGCTCACCTCACACTGAATATTTTCCTATCCAGCCCTCTCACTTCATAAATAAGGAGAGTCCCCTAAACTCTTTTGTAGAACTCAGTCACATAAAAATATATATCCATATTCTCCATACTGTTCTCTATGCATTTTCTAAGGTGCTGACAAGGAGAATTTGTTTAATAATCAAGAGCTTCCATAGTTGGTGATCATTTCCTTGACACTTGAAATTAGGGTCAAAGAGTTTAACTACAACTGTATAAAAAGGAACCAAACTCAAGAAAAAATTCACATACCTCAGTTTTGGAGGAAGAGGATCTTCATCAGAATCTAACAGAGATGTAAGACTAATTCAGAAATGAGGTCAGGATATAATTGTGATGTCATACATATAATTACAGTATGTACAACTGCTGAACTTACATTAAAACCATTAAGACAAATACAGAGGTGTAACAGTATGTGTAGAGCCTCAAAATCTCTTCATGTTCTTCACAAAACATTACCTGAGTCAATAATGTTTTTTACTTTCTTCTTCCTCTTCTGATTTTCTTTTGGTTTTTGCTTCTGGGCAATGTCATCATCTTCACTGCTTGATAAACTCTGCCCAGAAAATTAACAATTACATATTTTTATTCGCACAAATGTGAGATAAATTCACTTCTTTGGACCTAACAATAACAACTGGATAAGATCAAGGAAGGGGGGGGGGGTGTTGTTCCTTGGAGCACAACTTTCTTACACAACATCTTTTTTCTACCAGCTCAGAAAATCAAGAGAAGACACCAGGCTTGTGAAAAAAAATTAATAGTCTGGGTTAGGTGAAGTCTCAGGGTTTCTTTATCAATCACCTTTCAAGTTAATCAACAATTTTATTTTCCCTTCAGTCTGAGTAAATGAAAGATTAACTACATGTAGTACTTGTCAAAATCATCAAATACTCATTAGTATTGCATACTGCAACTGCTCTGCAGACTTAGGAAGCTGCAGTTTAAACAAATTTGTAGGGAATGCTAATGTCCAAGATATTTCGAACTTGAGTGAAATTTAGGTGGCAGTGTATCACATCATGCTGTTTAACCCTTAAACTCCCAGATGTGATTAACATGTAACTTCTCCCAAGACTATCCATACAATGTCCAACAAAAGGGTTATGAAAGTTTTTATCTTGATCTAAGAACAAATTCCTATAACAAATGTACAAGGAAATGTAAAGCAACTAGAGGGAGAATTAGCAAACAGATCTTAGGAGTTAAAGGATGAATACAAAAACTTCATTTTACAACCCTGTTTAGGGTAAAAAAGAAAAAAGGCAAAACATTGTAACTTATCAGCCTCACTCAGCTACCCTGACATACTCCAACAAACTATTGAAAATTATACCTACAAAGTTAGTTAACACACAGTACCACACCATTTCTCATATTCCAGTCCAGAAAGATACCTCTGGTTAGATATAATAATATGTAGTGGAATGAAACTCCTGGTTAAAACATGTTGTAAAATTACTTACCATGTGCTAAATAAAAGATTCATGACAAAGGAAATTTTACCATGTATGGCAATAAATACCAATTTTGGCGAAATAAGGTGTCCCCCCCCTCTCCCCCGGAGAAGATAGATGGGAATGTGAATTGCTCCCGTGTATATAGATACACATGATGATCGATTCAGTCAGACAGGGGCTGTGATATGGGCAGATCTTTACTCCGTCACCTCTGAAGTCGAATTCCCTGATAACACAAATATCTTTCTCTCTCAAATGCTACATAAACCATTACTTACCTTCGTTCGACTCTTTCCTACATCTTGTTTCGATAAAGACTTCACTGTAGAATCTTTCCCGCGCTTATTTTCTACTTTCGAAGCGCCTTGCTTCGCTGTCTTTCCAGTAGGGCTGAAGAACGATCGAATATCCTGTACAAAAATATGTAATTATAACTGAAACACCGCTTAAACACTGCCGCTGAGAACTAAAACGACTAACAAACCATTTCAGTATGGTGATGTGTTCACATCACTCTGCGACATTTCGCGCCATCTTTGAAAATGTCCTGTACTTCAGTCAGCGGTCACCAACTTAGCTTCCAGACTCCTGCTATTTCTCTTCCGCTAATTTTCCGAAAAAGACAATAGGTCATAAGATAACCATAATTTAATTCAAATTCACGGAACCAAATGAAAGGAGCTGTCAGACGAGGGAGGTTGAACCGCTTGCAGTTGCCCCGCTAGATTGCTTTGAAAATGGCAAATAGATCCGCGAAGAACACTTCTCAGGGGTACGTACTCTGCTGTGGATGTCGATATTTTCATGAATGAATGCGCTCTAGCTTCGCGCACGCTCGTTCTCCGATTTGGTTGTTTCGTTGCGCTGTCTTCTCCTTGAGGTATATCGTTTGTTTATTGAAAGATATTCAAACTCGCAACATGAAATTTGCAGAAAGTTATTTGAGATTTTATAAGCTGTCATTCAAAAACAATTTCATGTAATATAAAATGACTCTATAGAAAAAAAATATGAACATCTCTGTAGTATTCTTTGCTGAATCTTCACTACGTTCGCAAAGATACCAATCCTCTTCTGTGTTTAAAGGAAGGACTGTGCCATTTAGCCATAACATGCAAATCTATAATTCAACATAAAATTCCGTGAGGCTGCAGCTGTGCAATTTACAAGGTGTCAAGCATCGATGTTCGTAGTCGATGAATAATTCGATTGCGTGACATGACACCTTCCCTGAAAAAATATCGCGTGATTAAAGTTGTTTTGCAGCATGTTTCTGATTCAAAACTAGTAATAATAAAAAAGTTTTCGTGGAGGTTTCAGCGATAATAATGGTTGTTGTGTCATCATTTGTTTGATTTGTGGACTGAACTGACTGTTTCATCCTTAAGGGGGGCATTACAATTTTCGATATTTTTTCAAGATCGGTTTTTTTGCCAAAGAATTTCGGTTCAGTTCGGATTGCGTGTTCATTGCGGTTGACGGATTTTCTGTTCTTTGGCATTTGGTTTTCGGTTTTCGTCAAAAATACTTATCTAATGGGCTTCGGATTTGATCTCTGATGTGGTTTTCGGATTTTCCTACTTGCATTCCGGTTTCTCTTCGATCCAAGCGGTCATTATGCGCCTCCACTGATCTCGAATAGCCGCGAAACCTCTGTGTGCTTCACCTGTCAACACTGTATCGGATCGATTAAGGTTTCGAGAACTGGGATGTGAACATTTATATGTTTTGATGGTTTTGCATGCGGTTTTCGGTTTTTAACGAATTTTTGTTGTTGTTGTTGTTGTTTTTGCGGTTTTGCGGTTGTGGATGATTTTTTTTTTGAGGTTTCTAATAGACCCTCTCACGGATTCTTGTTTTGCAAATTGAAAATCTCTCTTTCTAAAATTACAGATCTTCCTTTTCGTTCTATTCCGTGTCTTAAATAAGAGTAGGCCTTGTTTAGTTATTTCTTCTGAAATTGTTCGAGGAATTCTTTTAATTTTTAATTTTTTTTATTTTCTGGAAATAAAGTGCAGTTGTCTTTTTCACTTCACACTTGAATTTATGACTGAAAGTGGGGGGAATGTGGGTTGAAAGTTGGGGTGTCTGTGCCAGACAGCTTGTTCCTGCCTGTATCTGCATTATCATGTATTAACTTTTTAATTTTCTACTGAAGCGCTTTCATGAAGATATCGACAGCATTGTAATTACTCCTGCAAAGTTTTGTTCTCTGAACTATCTGCCATTTTCGAATCAACCAATGAAAACTGAGTGTGCTTCAATTTCAGTCTCCCTTGTCTAACAGCTTGCTACAGTTAGCGAACTCCAACATCGTGCAGACCTCTGATTAGAGGAAGTGGAAAGTGAGGTGGGAGTGAAATATTGGATTGGTGGGACTGCCAGCGAAACTGGATTTCATTCAGTTTTGTTCGCTAGTTTTTATCAGGGCGAGGATCCCAGTGGCACCCTGGTAGAAATCTCCTCATTGGCATCCCGAGAGAGATCCCAACAAGTGTCCCGTGGGAATCTCGGCGGGAACTTGCAAAAATACCGACCTATACTTCAGAGGGTGATGACATCAGGGAACTCGTCTTTTTGTCTTTTAACAAACCATTTCATTCTTTCATACGAAGACGGTAAAATCGAGCAACCGTTTTAAACCCGTAACTGATTGTTATCACCATTTAATACAGGTTAACAACAAAAGACAAGAAAACAACTTTTTAAACCATAATTTATTATTTTAATGTTAAGTTTATTTTAAAAAATCGCTCAAAAATGTATCGAATAACTTCAACAAAATGATGATGCAGCGTAAAAACAGAGCAATAGATTAGAATTCTAGCAGTTAGACCTCTTGGTGATTACCCAGCAAATGATTTGCGTAATTTTCTTGCATAATATTTGTCAGATACAATGGTCCTAAGAAGAAAGATAATCTGCAATGCGTTGAGGATATTTGAACTCTAAATACTAACATTGATTTTAGGAGACAAACATGGAATAAATTTTACTTCAGAGACAATTCGTAGTTTTATTCGAGTGATTCCGCCCTAAGTGACCGTTCCATACAACCCGAACAGGCCGATGGGACTCAGTCAAGGATGACCACAACCGCTTAATAGAGACCACCGCTAAAAAGTGGTGAAAGTCACAATGCATAAGAGGAAAAAATTCGGGAATTTTACAACCGACCGCTTAATACAGGTTCGACTATTAATTCTGAATAAGCCAATCAGCCCACGCGAAGAGCTCTATTCCCCTGTGTGGTATATACTAAAAACCGCTGTAGGGTGGGTAGATGGAGTTG